ATATATATATATATATATATAAAAGATGAGCCTAAAAGACAATATGCACAATTCAAATCTAGAATCTTGAAACAGGAGACTACACCTTCAATCACTTATGTCACCGATGAGTGCACCATATAGAATACCTATATTTTTTAATAATTAATGCTTAATATCATGATTTTAAAGATTAATACATATAGAAGTCAAGTTCTTAGTGGCCTATTTATAGTTCTGTTGTTTACTTTCATTTTCTTTTTGAGTGAATTTGCCTGAGTGGCCCTTGAGCAAGTTTCAATTGAAGGCCCAAGCCTTTTCAATAGGTTCTAGGCCCAATACCGTGCAGAACCAAAACTGGCCTTTTTTCATTTGCAGTTGGATCGTGTTAGCGGTCTAATCCGGCCCGTCCCTGATAAATCTTCCGCTGCCTCCTGTTTGACACGATTTACGAGCTGAACATAAATAAAAATCTATTAATCTGTATTCAATTTATTTTATCTCAAAATAATTAAATTATATACATATATAATTGATAAGTATTATTTTAAAATAATAAAATTACCTGCAAGGTTATAAATTTTAAATCAATTAAATTTATTTTACCTTTGCATCTTCTCTCAAGCACTCCTCTTCTCTCTAATTTTTTCAGCTCTTAACTTACGGCTGCATGATCAGAGATGTCAAAAGGACATTGTTGTTCTCAAACAAATTTTTTGCAGTCAATATATTAACAAGCCGAACATAACGGGTCAGGTCTTATTTTTTAACGGGCTTAAGCGACTGGTTTACACCACTAGCCCGGCCTAGCTGTCCACTGCCGGAGATCATCAATGGATCTCCAATATCTCTTACATACTTCCCCTCCAAGTTTCGAAGCAGAGCAGGAAAAGACCATCCAGCACAAGCGAAGAAGTTGTGGCCGAGCGGTTGCCATACTTCTATGCGGCGCCTTCGTATTGCCTCCAACCTGCCCAACGAATTGCCTAATCTGAAGCTACTTCATAATTTAAACTGTTCCACGTTACAGCAGTAGGATTTGAAACTCAATAATAAGTATTGCATTTTTTTCAACATTGGCTAACTCATTTCCATGGACTTTGTCAGTTTAACTGGTTAACTGCTGCATCAGGATTTTAATTCTTAAGCTGATGGAGCACTTGGTTAAAACTTCTGGTTGTTAGTGTTAGGGGCAATTCCTGCTGGGTTATTAGCTAGTGTGGAAGTTTTGTCATAGATTACATACTACTTAGAGACCAAACATGATTTATTATGTGCTTATGTTTTGCCATTTTGATTAGGTGACCTGAATGTGTTGATCATGCCTTTCTCTGTTGCATCTATATATGTTTGTAATATATCGAATCAGTCGCATTTAGGAAGACAACAATTGAATTTTGCTCTTTTTTCTTGCTCTTTACAGCCTCCACTTCTCCTATTACGCTAATGGCGTGACCTTTCCCGCTCTCCCTCGTCTCCTTTGCCTTACATTAGAGTTGAAGGTTGATGTCTAGTGGTTCTTATAAGCATATGCTGAGGCTCTTTGGCCAAGCAAGCTTTCTCTTCTCTTTCTCCTTTCCTTCTTAGACTCAACTAACCAAGACTATATCCTTCATTCATTCTTTATAGCAGTTTAAATCAAAATTTTAGATTATTTTGTCATTAGTGACATTAGAATTAGGTGTTATTCTTAAAAACTTAAAATTTTGGGTATGTGACTAAGTTTAATATTAGTGCCTTCTTTTTCTTTATTTATGGCATTTATTTTTTATTTGACTGCAGTAGTTGTGAGGACTAAGTTATACATGTCTTACATTTACAACAGCATTATTCAAGTGTTTGATAACAGAAATTTGGAAAATCATGATTTACTTTGTATGTCAAATTAAATTTCTTGTAATGGCAATATAACTCAGATGATTTGATTATTTATTTTTATTTTAGGGTATTTATAATTATTATTCTTATTTTAATTTATTGTTTAATGATTATTTAGTTATTGTTTTTTTGTTTTGATTTTGTTTAACCTCAGTATTTTAAAAGACTCGAATGAGAAGGGCGATGATATCACATGAACTACCGATGCCTTGAGAATTGCTATATAAGTTGTACTTATCCTCAGAGACCCTTATTCTCCTAACTATCATCATAGCGCTACTATCCAACATATTGAAATTGTTGGATCACCAACCTCCAATATGACTACTCTTGTGAAGATGATAACCCAAAGCAGCATACAAACATTACAAACAAATGTCACAACTATAATGATACAAGCAACTCAAACAAATCAAGAAACAACCTAAAAAATAAGATGAAACAAGCAAACCTGTCATCATTGTCGGAACTTTGGTAAATCAATAAATATAGGAATATCCTTTAATTGTTAAATTTAAATCTTATATGTTGTGTCTACTAATTGAGGTACAATAGATCGAGCAATTGACCAATTCATGAAAACACATTTTCTTATTTTCAATGACAGATTCAATTGATTGGCAAGCTCAATCTTGTCTCACTAGATATATAATCAGAAAAAGCTCATTAAATACAATATTATTGTGAAGTCAAAGATGATAATATTAAAAATAAAAAAGGAAGGCATTAACTTATCTTATAAAACTACTTACATTATCATGCTTAAACTATCATACATTTAAGAGAGTGCTTTGAAATATTTTTTCAAACATTATCATTATATATGATCATGCTAAATATGAAGACTCCAATGATACATATTGATCTCTAGCTCAGCACTCTAGGATATTTTAAATATATTCTTTTCTTTTTAGGTGTTTGCATACAAAGCTTTAAACCTGCCTATCTTCTAGTATTAAGTATGGACACAATGCTCATGAATATAATATTTTGAGACACTTTGCTTATGATAACACCCCAAGTTACTAAAACATAGATTTACTTAGTAGTAGTAGAATCATTGACATGGATAATAATGATTATTGTTTGTATTTCATGATTACATTTAAAATTTCAATATCTTGATTGAAATTTTAGTATTTGCCTCTAATAGACATAATAGCACCACCAAATCTTTTTGTCTGATATTTTTAGAGATATCATGAAATTTTGTACTCGTTATATTGCAAGAATTGCTTGATGAATTTCGTAACTAATAATTGTTATAAAGAATATCATTTTATTTTCAATAAGTATAGAAGAGTTGAGTTCTATCAACAATTTGTAAAATTATTGATGAAAAAAGTAGTAATAGTTGGCTACCTAGAGAATGAAATTATATTTGATAGGTTGACACTTGATTATATAAAGTTTTCTTTGGCAAATGCACTGTTACATTGAAAATAAATCATTTTGGCAGGTTAAAAAAAATGAAGATGCATCATGTACAATTTCATGAATCAGCCTCATACATCAATTGTATCTTATTAGTAAATTTGCATCACATGATGAATACTAGCAATTGAATTGATATGCGTGTGAAAATATGCACTTATAAAAAATTTAAATTGATTACCCTCCGGTTTGAATATGTTATTATGTGGAGTCATTGTATTGAAAAATTGTTCATTAAGTCCCCTTAATTATACACATCAAGCTCGACGGTGAGTTTCTCAGGGGGCACGATGACAGTGGCCCTCTGTATTGGGTTCAGGGGTAAGGCAGATTTTTTTTTTTGTAATGAGTGCCCTAGTACCCATCGATCAATCTTCTATTCCACGGTCACCTCAGTGGACACTATACGTAGACGAAGCATCGGGAAACTCAGGAGCTGGTGCATGAATATTACTCATCTCCCAAAAGACAGACATTTTGGAGTACGAACTTTGTTTGAAATTCTCAACCACCAATAATATTGTTGAATATGAAGCACTTGTCGCCGAATTAAAGTTTGTCATCGACTGCGAAGTACGAAACATAATCATCTACACTGATTATCAACTCATTGCATCCCAAGTAGAAGGAGAATTCGACGCTCATAACTCACAACTAGTGCAGTATCTCAGTTTAGTAAGAACACTTCTCGCCCAAATTGAAACATATCAGCTCATTCACATACTTTGGGAACATAACACCAGAGCTGGTGCCCTCTCCAAACTTGCAACTTCAACAACTGTTCTATAAATGAAGGTGCACTTAGGACATAAATTTTTCTAGCTTCCATAGCTCATGGGTGATATTGTCTATAGATGACCTAAGGAAGCCATCTTGGATGGATCCTATCATCTCCTTCTTCCAAGACGGAACACTGTCAGATGATGCTACTACATCAATTCGCATCAGATCCATGACTAACAACTTCATCCTTATAAGGGATGAACTGTATAAGAAGGCATTTGTAGGTTCATACCTCAAGTGTCTTCCTCTATCTGAAGTTGAT